GATCTTTCTTGACAAAAGAAGCCTTCAGAGCCTGCTTCCCTCTCAAAAGTTATTTCAGTCAGATGCAACTCTCGCGCCTTTAAACTACTTTGCAAGTCTTCTATTCTCATGGTGTCTAGATCTTTAGAATGTTCAATTGCTACCACAATGTAATCAAACTGAGAAGTTAAAGATCTCAATACCTTCTCTATGATTACTTGTTCAGAAAGGGTTTCTCCACAAGCTTTCATCTTATTAGTGATCATAATCACTCTAGAGATGTACTCAGTAACCTTCTCGTTGTCCTTCATGTTGAGATTCTCATACTGCTTTCTGAGAGACTGAAGCTTCAGCTTCTTCATTGATGTGTCACCACCGTAACATCTACTTAGTGTAACCCACGCAACCTTCGCTGCTTCAGAGTCAACAATCTTCTCAAACACATTCACATCCACACACGGATGGATATAGAATAATGTTTTGTGATATTTCTTCCTTATCGCCTTCTGCGTTGTCTTTCGTGCCTCCGTCGCTTCTGCTTCTAATGAAGCATAACCATCCGTGACAAGATCTAACACATCTTGAGAACCGAACAACACACGCATTTAGATCTTTCAACGCTTCCAGTTTTTGTCATCAAACACTGGACGCTTGAAACTGATATTGTCGTTTTCGTTCATCTTCAACCTTGTGCAGTTCACTCAAAACTCACTAACAAATAGTGTTTTCCAAATCCAACAGAATCAGAAAAAATGTGATTCTCAATCACACAACACCTCATTGTTCACTCGTGTTTTCTGTGTTTCCCCTGGATTTCGAACCGGAGCTCTAGATATCAATTGTTGGTGCACAAAGAAGAGATGAAAGACAAAATGAATATATTAAATGACGACTACAAAATAAGGAGTAATGAATACATTGACCTACCTTCTACTAGACTATTTATATACAATATTAGAGTATAATCAAATACTAAAATACTCTCTAATAGATTTAGTTAACAATACATTCCTAAAATATAAATTATTTCCAAACATTATTTAATTGTAACTTACAAAATTCAATATAATATAAATTATACTATCGTCAAAATTACCCCTAATTATTTATTATAAAGAGAAAAAATCAAATAAATATGATAAATACTCTATAAGTAAAAGAAAAAATATTATTTGAAAAGAAACAATATTAATTAACTTTTTTAATATATGTAAAAAATTAAAAACTTACATTTAAAAAGAAACCGTTAGAATAATTTACTAAATATATTAAATTAATATATTATTAAAAACCCATTATTAGTAATTAAATAAAAAACGTAATATACATGAACACTTAAGTCCAATTGGCGCACCTTATTAAAAATAAGAGCACACGTCAATTGGTATGATATACAGGTTAAGAGCTCGCGTCAGAAATTCAGTTATGGTGGCAATTGAGAGAAACATCATTAAGATTAGGAGTAGTTACAGAAGCTAAAACTAAGGAAGACAAAGATAGGTTGAAGAACAAGATGAAGAGTTTGAATAGGGTTGAATATTGAAGATTTATTTTTTTTATTTTTCTATATGTTATGGTAGAATTCTTTTAGCGCTGCCTCAAAATAAAATTTGAAAAATATTTAGCGGATGCCCATGCGCGACCTTTATGGTATTTGCTATATGTTTCGACTGAAACCATGGTTTATGCCCTTGTTGTTGTATTCTCAAGCATTCATTACTGGTGGAGGAGTTAAAAAAAACCCTAAATAGTAAAGTCTTTTATAATTAAGTCATCTATTTGGTCTTCTTTTTTTTTTAGACTCCTTACTAAATAAAAATTTTTTTGGTCTATTATTTTTAAGCCATTTTTATAATTTTGTTTTTTATCGGGCTTTACAAAGGAGCTCAAAATATAATTTATTTTGAATTAAATTATTTAGAAATTAATTTTATTTTAAAAAATAAAATATATTAAAAATAATAATTTCATCAAAAAAAAATAAGAAAAGACAATTTTTATCAAAAATATTTAAAAGTTGATTTTTTTCAAAAAAAATTGATTTTTTTATTAGAATAAGAAAAGTCGGCTTTTATCGAAAATATAAAAAACTGACTTTTCAACAAAAAAAAACGATTTATTTATTCTTCAAAAAACTAGATTCTATGTATTTCAGTAAAAAAATTGATTTAGTGTATTTCCAAAAAAAAAAAAAACTCAATTTTCTATATTTTTATAAAAAAATTGGAGTTATTATATTTCGTAAAAAACACGAATTTATGTGTTATCGCAAAAAAAATCGATTTACCGTATTTCTATAAAAAAATTGATTTTATGTACTTCCGTAAAAAAATGTGATATATTGTATTTCTGTAAAAAAAATTGATTTATTGTATTTTCATTAAAAAAAATTTAATTTACTATATTTCCATTAAAAACGTAATTTACTGAATTTTTATTAAAAAACTCAATTTATTATATTTCTGTAAAAAAACTGATATACTGTATTTCCGTAAAAAAACGCGATTGACTACATTCCTATAAAAAATTTTTTTTTTTATTTTTCTGTAAAAAAATCAATTTTTCCGAAAATAAGAAAAATCATTTTTTATCGAAAATATATAAACTCGACTTTTCTAAAAAAGAACAGAATTTTTATCTAAAATAAGAAACATTGGTATTTTATCAAAAATATAAAAAATCGACTTTTTTAAATAAAAACTATTTTTTATTGAAAATTTAAAAAGTCGTTTTTTTTGAGAAAATAAAAATGTAAATTTTACCGAAAATAAAAAATAAAAATCATTTTTTTTAAATATTTAAAGTCCACTTTTAACAAAAACTGATTTTTTGTCAAAAATAAGAAAAGTCAGTTTTTATTGAAAATATACAAAACGGAATTTTCGAGAAAAAAACCATTTTTTTATTTGAAAATAAAAAAAAGTCAATTTTAAAATAAAAAATATGTATCGATTTTTTTCAAAAATAAAAAAATCAGTTTTTATTGAAAATATAAAAGATCAAGTTTCCTAAAAAGACAAATTTTTATCAAAAATAGAAAAAGTCATTTTTTTGAATAAAAAAAGCCGATTTTCTTAGAAAATAAAAAAAAAGTTGAGTATTTTCGAAAAGAAAATTTGATTTTTATGAAAAATCAAAAAGTTAATTTTTTATCGAAAATATTAAAAAATTAATTTTTGTAAAAAATATTTTACGAAAAAATTAGAGTCTCAAGACTCTATTTAAATTTTAGAGGCGTTAAGAGGGCCTACTTTTATTTGAGTCCATTTATTTTTAAAAATTTAGACCACTATATTTTGTGTCTTAAAAATTAGGCGTTGGTGTCTTAAATTGATGGCTCTAATTACAAGCGATTATGTAGAGAATCGTTTATTTTTATAATGTCTACATACATATATGAAAGATGAAAGATGAAGACAAATATGAATAGATTGGATATTTTGTAAAAAAAAACTATAATGGCCATTAACAACTAGACTGTTCATCCACCGATAGCATTATTAGTATTGGGATGCTCAAACATGTCCTTCTCATAAGTTTCCATACAAAACTATTATTAAATTTGTCTTATTTACTTTCTTCTGCTATGTCATTTTCTGCACTAATAAAAACAGTGTCAATACTTGCACATAGCTCAATCAATGTGCAGGGAAAAACTGCTTCAAAAATTTCAGTGAATCTTCACCGTGGATTACTAGTTATTTTCATCAATAATCATAACTAGTGATTCCAATTTTTGATTCCCTTGATTTTCTATCATTTTTTTCTTCTAAAATTTGGCCTTTTCCTATCAATATATTATACACAGCCTAGATGCAAAAATATATACTATATGTTTATTGACAAGTTGCAATGTATATAATGATTATTTTGAATAGTTAAATAGAAATACTGAAACCTGACTGGGATTTGATGCATATGAATAATATATGTCAAAAAGTTATACTACTTAATTTATGCAATACTGAGAAAAAATAACAGTCCTGTGCTTCTCTGTTAGATTTAGATTATAGAAATTTTTATTCTTTCTTTTAGCTGATTCTAAACTGCTTTATTACTTCTTAAATATCCTAATCCAAACTTGTCCTCTACATACATATACATTTTTCTGTATTTGACAACCTAGCTAGATACCTAAAAGAACATTCAATTCCTGGATTCACCTAATCAAAAGTGGTAGCAAAATAGTATTGTAACAATTGTAAAAAAAAATGGTCTCGGACCACAAAGTGACCGGTTATTAGTCCTTCAAATTGAATTATAGTACACCTATTTTATGTACAAAATAAACAAAAAGTATAATAAGAATACAGGGAAAAATGAAAAATTTGATGCACATTATAGATGAAACATAGCTAGCTAGCAATGTTTGGCGTAGGAGACCAGCATTCTGTTATGATAAGTAGGTTGGCAAAATTGATCGGACCCAATTCTCCGAATATCTGTTTTGCCAATATTAATTTGTAGAGTGAATCAAAATTTTAAACTCACTCTCGAATATATATATATATATATATATATATATATATATATATATATATATATATATATATATATATATATATTCCGTTACGCTTCATTTTTTTTTTACACTATATCCACTCTACCCTCGTTTTTTATCAAAATTTTAGATTTGCAACCTCAATTATATCTAATCCATCTTTTTTTTTTCGTCGAGTTTTTGCAACAAAGACCTAAAAGCATGCCCCGTAATGATCAGGTACATTGGTACCCACACTAAATAAACAAACAAAAAAACGAATAAGCACATTAATTATTAGTTAATTAATTAATGACAATAACACTCGATGTGAGTGAGATACATTAAGCTTCATCAACATGTGTTTAATTAAACACATTAATTTATGATTATATGGTTAAAAATTTAGTAGTAGTACTAATAATCAATCAAATTAAGTGAGACAGTGATTATCTGTCACACGTTACATTATCAAGTTACACATGCACATGCACTTTCTTATTAATTAAAAACTATATCTAAATTGAAAATTTACAATTAACTAAGAACCACCGCCACGGCCACGGCCACGGCCAATGTTGGGAATCTGCGGTGGTGGAGGATATGAACATGAAGAGTTTGAAGAAGAGAATGACATGAGAGTAACTATGAGATCAGAAAAAGCACCGAGAATGAATTTGTGTGTGCTCTTCGGGTTGAGTGCGAGATAGCTAAGAAGAAGGTCGTGTAATGTATCCCAATTTGATTTCACGTCGTTCATCAACTCCGGACGCGCTTCCACCATCTCTTGCATTGAACGTCGGAAGTCCATGTAAGGATCCGGCGAGTAGGTTGGCACGGCGACGCTTCCGTTGAAAATTGGTTTCTTTTTGTTGGATGGAGCGGTGGTGATTAATGAAGAGGAGGAGGAGGAGGAGGAGGTGGATTCGACGATGGAGTTGGAGCGGCCGGGGGAGGAGAAAAAGAAGCGGTTGGAGGCGAAGGCGGTGGCGAAGTCGGCGGGTTGGGGTTCTGGTTCGGGGGAGGTGGTATGGTGGTGGTGATAGAGAGTGTTGAAGTTTTTAATCATGATTGATGACGTGGCGGTGGTTGTGGCGGTGGAGAGTGATGGACGGTTGGGATCAGTTTGGTGTTGTTTTTGTTGGAGAAGAGATTTTGTAGGAGGAGATTGAGGTTGTATGAAAGTTGAGAAACATAGGTAATTGAGGCGTTTGAGGTTGTTTCTTCTACTTGTTCTCAGCGTTGTTGGCATGGTTTTTGGAGGTTAGAGGGTGTGAAAATGAATTAAGAGGGTGATGAATTGAAAAGAAGGGCACGAAGAGTTTTGGTTGATGGTTATATATATATATATATATATATATATATAGTAGTTGTTGTGATTTGGCACCATCGATGTGGGAAAGTGGATCGATATTATATCTAAAAGTTGTAGCATGGATAAGCACTTTTTTTAATTGATAAGTGAATAATTGGAAATAAAAGAAAAATTGATTCGTTGGCATGTGTGTTCGTAAGGTGACGTGCGGGTAAATGTTAGGAAATAAGATTCCATTTCAAGGTTTTGCGTTCGCTCAGCTCTGTTGTTGATAGTTCTATAATAATATCGACTCAATATCCCCTCAATTTAAATGTTTTTTTTATGATAGACCTAATTTTCTTTTGGTTAAATAAATTTATCAAAAATTTAAATCTTCTACATTTAAAAGAAAGTATAAGTCTTGTCTTATAAAAGATATAACATAGCTTGTGTCTTAAGTAAATTAGAGTATAAGTTTTCTTATCTACGAAGAGTTTTACTCTTTTATTTTTATTTTTTATAATTGAATATTAACTATTAATATATTATAAGGAGATAATGTGCTACTAATAAATATGGAAATCTAGATCTTTGTCCATAAAATATTTTTTTGTAGGAGAAAACATTCTCTAGTTATTTCATACCTAAGTCATAATTTTGCTTAAGACCTCACATTCTCTAAAAGCATGATCCTTGGTCGTTAGCTAAGTTAGATTAAAAATTCATCATGACCAAACGTACGAAATCACATTTTAGTTATCATGTTAATTTCACTTTCGAGTAGCACAACAAACAACCTACTAACAAAAAATGTTCATCGAGTCTTTGTGAAAAAGGCTATTATAGTCAAACCCTTTAGGTTGCAAGAATATTTTAAATTGAGATGAAAGCAAGATGCACATGGGGATAAACAGTTACAACAATCAACCTTCAACTGTCTACTATGAATCTGAATCATGAAAACAAAACTTGAAAAAATATAAAGGATTCCAAATAGTACATATGACAGTTTTTTTTTGTGGATGAAATGGCACACTCAAAGTTGGTCCACTTCTTTCTGAAATCATCGCACTTGAAAGTGATGTATCATTTCATTATTCATGCAAGATATCACAATGAGGACATGTCCTAAAACAGGTCCCCCTCTCTTCTAATACTAGTTCCATTTTTCTCTATAAGCCAGAAAAAAACTCACAACAAGTACATGATATATATATATATATATATATATATATATATATATATATATATATATATATATATATATATATATATATTATACCACATTTGCATTAAATTTTGTCATTAGTAAATGCATTTCAGAAGCTTTTCAAAAGTAAATCCAATAGTTTTTTAAATTTGAAAATTAAAAGTAGATATTTGGACAAAATCACGTTTATGGAAGTACAAGAAGTCTCAATTTGCTATATATTTTTAAGATCATAGGCTAAACGGAAAAAAATCAACTAAATAAAAAAAGTTGAAGGCTAATAAATAACCATAAATTATCTCTTAAATGAGAGCATGTTACAGAGACGAAGTATAAAAGGGGATTCTCTTTTAAAGGAAATGCAAGAAGGAATTACGCATAAGTAATACGAGCAATAACGAATACTCTTAAGCAGCTGCAATTCGGCCTGATTTACTTCAAAGAGTTATCCAAACGTGTTTTACATAAATATTTGGTGCCCACTGTGAGACCTAGGTAAAAATTTCTCAGGCCACACATCAATATCACTTTCTTGAGGATGTTAGGACCATCACCCAACAATGAGGATCCTCTGCCAGACATGGCGTATTTGTTGGTCTTTGTAGAAGATCTTCTACAACAAAACAAAACTCTTCAAGATAGTGTCTAGACACTCCAGGCTCAAAGTCAACCAAATGGGAATACAGAGGAAGAATCATTGGATCCTCAACCGTTGTCTGAAGTTGTATGGAATGACACAATGCCTTAGAACTTCAAGCCACCATTGTCGGCATCGTCCGATGGCAAAAGTGATCCTCAAGAGCACATAACCTTCATCAATAACTAGATGGAGATAGCTGGTGCATCAGACTCCCTAAAATGAAAATTTATGGCTGAAATATTCAAGGATGTTTCCTTGTGCTCCTACATGAGTTTGTCAAGGTTCTCTATCGTTGGGTACCAAGACCTAACCCGAAAGATTGTCCAACACTTTTCCGCTAGCAAGCACATAAAGGTTTCCACCACTAGATTGTTTACTGTACAACAAGGAATATACCATCAAAGTCTTCCATCCAAATCAAGAGATGTTTGTAAGAGCTTTCAGAATGGTTTAAGGGTTGGTCATTTCAATGAGTCCCTTGCTCAAAAGCCAACCTTGAACATGGATGAGGTGATGAATCGGGAAGAATGTTACATCAAGGGTAAGGAAAGCAATATGGAGAAGTTTTCCATGGATGCCAAGGAAAAATCACATGTCAGATCAGAAGGGTCGGCACCGAGAAAATAACATCTAAGATTCCCCACCCAAGATCGCAACGTCACGCGTCCGAATCGGAAACTGTTTGATAACTCCTCGGAAGTCTTCACGCCCCTCAAAAATAGGCGTGCAAACATTTTGTGAGAGGTTGATCACCTCAGATTAATAATAAAACTGCATCGGCCTAAAGTGGCGAGCGCGGTGGCGGGAAGAGAATACGATTATTGGTGTTCATGCTATTGTATGAAGGGGCATCATACACGGGATTACCAGTAGCTAAAGAACGAAATTGAGGCACTCATCCAACGCGGAAAACATGTATCATATGTAAAAGACGACTGGGGGTTGGTATGGAAGAGAATCCCTTCTCAGAGTGAGTCTAACCCAGAAACTCCGTTCACTAAGAAGGGAAAAAACAGAGTAAGTACATGAAACCCATATAGTGCACCACATCCTGAATACTATCTCAGAAGGATTCGACGGGGGTGGTGAGTCCAACTCGGAGAGAAAAAGGTATGTTCGGCAAGTAATGCATGTTTCCCAAGAAATTTCATCTTTGACGACGAGAGAAAAGTCGGTTGCAATCAGCTTCTCAAGGCGATAGTGTTAAACATGATATATCTTCTCATGAGAATGACCCGATCGTGATAAAGATTCAAATACACAATTAAAGTGTTAAATGTGTGTTAATCGATCCTAACAACTCTACCGATGTCTTATACTGGGACACTCTCAAAGGCATGGACATGAATGCATCAGAGATGTTTCCTTTTAAGGGAACTCTAGTCGGGTTCTCCGAGGAACATGTGAAACTCTTGGGGAATTTACCAATACTAATTGTATTTAGAAGTAGAGGCAACTCCAAGTCCATCAAAGTAAGATATCTTATTATGAATGCAGTGTCTCCGTACAATATAATAATCGGTATACATGTTTTCAACGCCTTGGTAGCTACTATATCCACTCTATATCTTACCATGAATTACCCTCTTCATGATGGGCGGGTCGGAGTCATTAAAAGCGACTAAGAGTTAGCCCGTAGATGCTACAAGGATAGTCTAAAGCTGAAAAATAGGGTGGTTGAAGATTGAGCTAAGGAAATAGACCAATTGAAGGTCAATTTTCTGGATATTGATCCTAGGGAGTATCCAAGTCTTGATAGTCTGACACCTGTAGGTGACTTGAAAAAGGTGCAGATCGGGGTCTAAGAGTTTCAAACCACACAAATCACATTCAATTTTCTCCCTGGGGAAGAATCAGATATTATCTAAATATGAAGAAGAAATATGGATCTATTCGCATGGAAACCTTCCAATGTGCCAGAAATTGATCTGTATATTGTATGTCACTAACTTTCCATTGATATGACACTCAAGTTATTGAATGCAAAGTTCATCTGGGAAATAAAGTATCTCACATGGCTATCTAACATTGTTATGATGAATAAGAAGACCGATAAATAGCGTATGTGCATGGATTTCATTGATCTTAACAAAGCTTTCCCCAAATATGTGTATCCACTGCCTCACATTGATAGGCTCGTCAATGATTCCTCAGGGTTTTGTTTACTCAATTTTATGGACACTTACTCAGGATACAACCAGATAAGAATGAATTTGTTGGATGCATCCAAAATGACTTTCACGACAAACAGGAGCAACTAATACTACTATGAAGTGATTTCGTTTGGCCTAAAAAACACAGGGGCTACCTATTATACCCCAATTATTGCCCCTAAGATTTCTCATCATCTCATTTCACCATGCATCAAGACACAAACATTAGAGTTATTTCTCTCTTTATCCTATTTTTAAGTTTGCTCTTGAGGGATTACCAATCACCTTGAATTGTGTATCTTGTACATGTATTCTTTTAACTAACATCAATATGTGTATATGTGTTTCTTTGAATGTTCATATTGTAGGTGATCACAATTGCATTCATCTCACCATCTAATCTAAGGTTTAAGGGGTGATCCTCAATCAAATGTTTCCCTAATGGATTGCAAGAGTTCAATCTTCAAGTCATGTCTATGGCATCAAACATGTGTGGTTCAAGGAGCTCTCTCACTTTATTTAGGTTAAGATCTCCCTAAATTTGGTGGTGGAATTCATCAAGAAGATTCATGGGTTCATATGTTTATTTTTATGTCTCATTGAGACTTAAGATCCATCTTTGAGTGTGATTCAAGACAACATAATTTCACAGCCTCTTATGATTCAACGTGCTTATTTTGCCGAAAAAGTCCAAAAAGATTCAAGGTTGATTCAACAAGTTTGACCTAATTGAGAAAATACTAGATTCAGTGATCACAAGTGCATAACTCTCTCAATTTTTAACATTTTTATTCGGTTCTTTTTGCTATGGGTTCTTATCATCATCTACAACAACCTCTCTTCACATGACAATATCCAATTGTGCAAGAAAAATTATCAAAAGTTGAAAGGGGTTTCAAGCCATTTTGACACTCTCTAAGCTAGGGTTTATTGAATTCTAAGGATCATACAT